ATTCTGGGATGTGGGTCATAGAGGATCCTGCTGTGATTTATGTCGGAGAGTGTTTTGCCTATGTTCTCCTCTAGGAGTTTTATAGTTTCTGGTCTTACATTTAGATCTTTAATCCATTTTGAGTTTATTTTTGTGTATGGTGTTAGGGAGTATTCTAGTTTCATTCTTTTACAAGTGGTTGACCAGTTTTCCCCACACCACTTGTTAAAGCGGTTGTCTTTTTTCCATTGATTATTCTTGCCTCCTTTGTCAAAGATAAGGTGTCCATAGGTTCGTGGATTTATCTCTGGGCTTTCTATTCTGTTCCATTGATCTATATTTCTGTCTTTGTGCCAGTACCATACTTATTTGACATCATTTTTTGATATTGATAAGCATTGGCTTCTATGTGAGGTATAAAGAAATATTGATATTTACAACACTAGCATCTTGAAGATTTTGAAGAAGTTAGAGAGGATTTCTTGGAAACTAAAAGATTTTTTCTAGTAAGACCTTAATAGAAAGAAAACCATCTTACTGAAATCTACTTTGAGTATGTTCGGTGAAGATGCCAGTCTATAAAAGGAGACATATTCTCTGATATTAAGGAAAATGTCCTACACTCCATTTCTGTCTCCTTCCAACATGTGTTCTCAGAAAACTTCCACTGAAAACTCCACCTTATGGCTGATGTAAATGGATATATAAGGAAGGAATAAGAAGAAAAAGAAAACACTTGAAGTCAGATAGTAGGAAGAAAAGGACGACTATAACACCCACTCAAAAATAAAATAATTTCAGCTGACACACAAGTCAATCAGCAGAACAAATACTGCTTCAAAAGGTCATATCAGAGGCTGCTCCCTCTGCCTCACTCCATTTCTGAATGAATCTATTCAGTTCTTCCACCATTTCCTTCACGGGAGTCAACTATTTCTAACTTAACCTGCCAAAATAATGGTTCCATTGACTCTTTCGTATATTTCAACTCTTTAATATATTAAACAAAACAAACCTCATTTTCTGTCTGCTGTGCTTTGATCGTTACACTTGACCTTTTCTTTTGTACATAGCAGTGCCTTCTTTATGCGCCCATAGTTTCTTGTTTTATTTCCCCCGTTTAGGCTGGCTGTTAATCTCTAAGCTTCTATTTTTGTTCACAATCAAGTTATATAATTTGTCAACCGTCCACATTTTAAAACTTTTATGATTGTTTTTGCCTAACGGTATGCACACCACCTGAGCCAGCTGCCTTAATCCTTGAGTGTAGCCATTTTTCTCCACTATACTTTTGGGTAATAACCATTGCCAATTTATCCCACTAAGTAAATTCCTCATTTTATTGAAATTGTTTTTACAAAGCTTAAGTTACTCACATGTATGCCCATAATCTCGTCTCCCTCTGCCTTCACTCTGGTAGAAGTTTGAAACTCTATTACTCTATTTATTATCATAGTTTCTCAAACTCCTCCACATTAGCTTTCAGACTTGCCATAACCTCCTTCCTCTTTACAACAAAGGCTTATTAAAAATCATAGAATCAAATCTTAGTGCCGTGAAGCACCTCCAGAGATCCTCTTGTACTGAGAGGACAAAATTCTTTCTCCTGATCCAGTTCCCCTGCTCCAACGCTTGCTGGCTGTGTGACAAACTTGACCAAATTATTTAACCCTTCTTCGTTTCAGTTTCTATTTGAAATTCAGATAATTCTGCTTACATTATAGGGTTGTTATGAAGATTCAAACAGTTAGTAGATATAATTGCTTTAGAACAGTTTATGGCATATACTGTGTTCTCAATATATGTTAGCTACTATTTTTCAAATACACATTTTATTTTAAAATAGTTTTAGATTCACAGAAAACTGGCAAAGATAGTGCACATTGTACTCATTTACCCCACACCCAGTTTTCCCTACTGTTAACATCATAAATTAGCATGTTAAATTTGTCACAAGGAATGAATCAATATTGATATGTTCTCACTAACTAATGATTTTTAATCTAATTGTCCTTTATCTGTTGCAGGATCCCATCCAGGAGGCTGAATTCCACTGAAACATCATGTCTCCTTAGGCTTCTCTAACCTCTGCCAATTTCTCAAACTTACCTTGATTTTGATGACGTTGACAATTTGGAGTGGTAAGATATTTTGCAGAATTTTTGGTTTGTCTGATGTTTTTATTAGATAGGAGTCATGGGACTGGGGAGAAAGACTAAAGACATCAGGCACCATTCATGAGGATCACATCAAGAGTATTTGCTCTCAACATCCCTTCTCACTGAGGATGTTAACCTTGATCACCTGGCTCAAGTTTTTCCACTACAAAGTGTTCCCACCCCCAAATTTCCATACTATAGTCTTTGTAAGAAAGTTACCATGTGGAGTCACAGCCCCTAATTTAAAATATGGGGAATTATGTTCTGCCTTGAGGGGGTCAGTATCTATGAAAATATTTGAAAGTCTTCTGTATTAGAAAATTCCTGCTCTCTCTATTTATTTATTCAATCAATCACTTATAGCAGAAAGGATCATAAATATTTATTTTATCCTTTGGTGTATAATCCAATACTCCTTTATTTATTTTGACATTTAACTCAGTTGCTCCTTGCTTTGACTGTTGGGAGCCCTTTCAGTTGGCTTCTGGGTCCCCTTGACACACCTCTTCATTGTTTTGTTTTGCTTTTTCCTTTGAGCACTTCCTTACTTCCTGGCATTATGATATGTTTCAGGCTCCTATTGTATATTCTTGCCCCAGTCAATCAGCCAATTTCCAAAGAGCCCCAGTTCTTATATTGGAGAAAGGTATTAAAAACCAAGAACTGGGCCCTGCGCATGCTCTTTGCTACTGGAGTGTCTTTTGTTTCCAGGCTCTCTCAGTAAAAAGAATTAAGAAATAACAAGTGTATATATGCATATACACAATTATTTTTATAAATACATATATGTTTCTATTAAGGTAAACGTGTTCATAATGATGTTTACCACTCTAATCCAATACCATGCAGTTCCTTCTAGCCAGCTAATATTTTATTAGCTACTTATTCATTCAACAAATTTTGTTGAGTGTCTATTATTTGCCAGGCCTTATGCTCATAACTGGGGATTAGAGAATATGGTGGATGCTACCCCTAGTCTCATGTGACTTAGAATTCAGGTGACAGTTTAAATTTTTATTTTAGTTCTTTCGTACTAATAAGGATTGACATCATTCATCATAGTCTATTTTCTCATTCATCCATTTTCCCCCATCATACTTCATTCCCCCACTTCCAAGACTGTACCACTTTCTATTGGCCATCTATTTCCTTTTCTCTACCCTCATTTCTCTTCTCTCAACTCATTGTCCTCCAGGATTTTTCATCTCCCATAAAACACACTCCAGCCGAAAAGTGACTGTAATACAATAAGCATGTTACTACCTCCATTCCAAAGTTCTTTCATATCTCATTTTTGACTACAGAATTCCTTGAAGAAGATAAAGTTATTGCTAAGATGCTTTGTCTACAGTGGCATCTTATAACTGCTACCGACTGTATGAACTTTTTTGGGATGCTTCGAGGAGGCCCCGCATGGCCAGCTACAGCTGTCAGAAATTGGAGGCCATGGCCAATAAACACAAGAAAAAATGCTCAACATCACTCATTATTCAGTTCAGTTCAGTTGCTCAGTTGTGTCTGACTCTTTGCAACCCCATGAATCGCAGCATGCCAGGCCTCCCTGTCCATCACCAGCTCCTGGAGTTTACTCAAACTCATGCCCATCGAGCCAGTGATGCCATCCAACCATCTCATCCTCTCTCATCCCCTTCT